AGTTGGCCTCAAAAGTTTCCTTTTGCGCATGCGTGTTTGCTTCTTGACATATCTTCATGCGCTTCCTCCAGCAATCTCTATCCAACAAAAAACGTTACTCCTTAATAAAACTCCGTGTTATGCGCGTAGAAATGTTTGGTTATTTGAGCTGGAATCCAAAATTGAAGTGTCGTCTTGGGATCAGCCCAGGCTGGAAGCTGTTTGGGTTGGTCATGTTATCGATCGTTTTGGAGTGCTGGAAGATGCGGTGCGTGTGTACGGTATTCGAAAAACATACGTTGTGCTTTTGAAGCGAGTCAAGCAAAGCATGGAAGTACCAATATGTGCATGGGCCGTGACGGAGTTCATAGTAAGAAAGTTGTTTAATAAGCAATGATAACAGAGATGCTTGTTCACTCGTTTGTCTTCCATTTATGCGTTTTGTGCTACAACAGTTGCACAAAATGCATACTGTCGTGACCCTGTTTTGAGTGCGTTTTATCTGGAGTTTTCAACCTGGGAACCAGAGCGGCTAGGAAGCTTAAAATTTTAAAGGGGGGGGGGGGGTTCCATACTCGCATCTGATCTTGTAAAATCAGATTCAGCGCCCACATGCGCTTGCTTCTCATTTACGGTTATATACAGGTTTTGGCGCCTGAATTAATATGCCGGAAGCACAAAAATACTAGGGAATTTTTGGAAGAATGATCCTTGCGCTATATGATTCCGTGAAGTTAAATTTTGCCGTCATGTACGCTGGGCTCAGTATGGAACGTGAAAGTTTTGGCGCAAAAATCATTGACCCAGGCACCAGAAAAGTTAGGAAGCTGAAATTTTAGGATACTGTTGTCTGCCCGCATATGAATTCAGTCCCTGCGCGCGCCTAGAACTTATATACAGACACACGAAAGTTTTGGCGCCAAAATTAATGACTCAGGGACCACAAAAACTGTACATATCAAACATAGATCGCGGAATGCTTCTGACATCAAAGTCCACTTGGACAGAGTTGCAAAAACGTTAGCTGAACGGTGTGTATGTTTCTTGGAGCGCATGCTTTAGGCTTAATAAGCCTGGGATTTGGATTATATCGATTAGTTGTTTTTTCTGTGCCTTAACCGAAGCGCCGTTTGGTTTGTGATTCTGTTGCTGATTCGTATTTATTACAACCCTTTGCCTTGCTAACAAATCTTGGCAACACGGGAACAAAGTGGCTCTACAACAGTATATTAAATAATCAGCGATTTCGGTATTTTTGGATGGGTGGTGTTAACATTTATCTGCCAAATTAATAAAAGCAAATATCAGTGAATTTTAGGCAATCGAGAATACAGGAGTAGTCCGTAGCATCAATTCCCGAGAGTTGGTTGTGGATGTTTATATCCCGGATGCGGACTTTGCAAATGGTCCCGAGCTATCCGTTCCTTTGCATGTGTAAGTGTCTTTGTTTTGTTGAAACATGGTTTCGGTAGATTTTCGGATTTTTCTTTTGTTTGTGTAATTTTGATTTTATGAATTTACTAATCATGCAGTACTGCGCCACCTCACTTTCATCCTTACCTATTTTAGCTTACAAAGACGAAATTTTGACTGCGTAGATTATATGGGGGGAGGCATGACACGTAGATTAGCATACGCTGATTATTTCCTATCAAATACGTGTTTTTTTTTTTAAATATTTTTTTTTTTTTTGGACTTTGTGGTACAAAAAGTGATAATTTTGTGGTGGGGCTCCTATCACAGTAGTTTTGAAGCTGAACACACCGAGAGCATCACAAACTTTCCGCTTTTTTATCTTACTTGAGCTGAGAAAAGATACAGAGTAGGAATACCCATTAGATGAACAAGAAATGTACGTTAATTCTCGTAGGAAAGGTAGATACAGTGAAAAGGTGTTAATTTTTTGTTGCTAACGACACACTTTTTTATTAAACCATAACACATATGTAGATGGCACCTTGTAGTGTATGTAGCTAATTATTCATTTAGTAATAAATAAGCTGTAAGGCTATGTTTGTGCGTAAGTAGCTAAATTACAACGTTTCTTAAAATGTTGATTTAAATTAGCTTTTGAAGGCGTTTATATTATGACCTACACAGACAGGCTGTCAAATCACTGTACATAGAGGCTTGCTTATTTGGGAGATCTAAATGACACTTCCAATTTTTTACTAATTATCAAAATTCGGTTGTGCTCCTCTCCACAACGGGCCAGCAACGCCAAACAAACTGCATGTGTTAACAACATGGAAGATTTCAGGTCCCCGTCTTCTTTCAGGCACCTAGCCAGGGATATTCATTGTTTGTATCTTTAAAATTTCTGAAAAAAAAAAGTTGAACAAACACTTCATTGCTACTTTATTTGCCATTGCTGTTCCCATTGCCATGACTGAAAGAGAGAGCAGTGTGAGTTTTTTTGATCCATTACTATTACAGATTCGAAACAGCTCCAGTGGTAGACAATTCGTACGTATTCAAGATGTTCTTGAAGAAGGGACGCTGGTGTGTAACTAGTGTTACAAAGGCCGAGAATTCCTCTGGTTCGCACCGCTCCAGTGGGTGCATCCAGGTAATCCATTTTCATTTGATATATCCTAAATGAGATATTGCATGATTATACTTGATGGACCGAATCATTCATGCTTTTCTGATTTATTTTTCTTCAACTTAAACTACTTCCATTTAGGTTTTATGCGTTTTTTGCATCTATGCAATACAGAAAACACATGTTGACGAGAGTTTGTCTGTGTGTGTGTGTATCTGTGTGTTAGTCTGTGCCAATTTTTCATCTCGAAACCTGCAAAAACAACAGGGCTGAAACTTTGGAAACTTAATCTACATGCATGTACGGGCCCCATCCCCAAAATGGGCGTTTTTGCCCACGTAGTACCCACTTGCGGGCCCGCCAAAGTTTTTTAGGGACAAATAGTAAAACTGCTGATATTCTCGGGACGGAGTATGAGATAGCATGTCTAAAGAAAGTTGTTGGTTTAATGGCTCTTATTTCAGAACGAAAGAAAAGATCTGCCTGTTGTGACAAATTCAAGCCGCGAATGCGCTGGAGGTTTCGAGCATGACTCCTATGTAGGTATTGTTGTTGGTGAAGCGGATAAATGTCGATTTATTTGGACACCTTCGTTAGAGGGTGAAGGCATATGCAGCATATGGAAAAATTTAGACATTGGTGACTGGATTCGATTTTGGGTTATGTAAGTTTTTTGGATTTTTTCTTCAATCCCTTACTGGATTTCTGATTTTTGTTCTGTTTTTGGATTATGTTGGAGTTTAAATAAAATAAAAGTGTCGAGACTGCTCGGGGCTATCACTGTAAATTTTGTCCGCTAGTGTTGTTACTTTAATGCTTCACATATCGAGCGTAGCTGTACCAGGCCCTTCGATCGTGGGCTGCACGCTTCCAATTATTACCCACGCCTCTCCCGTGTATGTGTGCAGCCTTCTCGTGTTGCTGGAGTGATCGCTTACTTCTGGGCATTATGCACTAATGTGCATTGTCCATCGTGTCGGCAAGACGAGCAACATGTCTCTTTCTGGCGTTAGACGCAGTGTTATCCTGAACACCGCTCATCTGACGGAGAGTTTGATTGTTTGTATCACATATGGGCAAACGGTGGCCCGCGACCGATTTTAATCCGCCCGAGCAGGCGATCGGGATGTCATGCCTAACTAGATGGACAGGGGGTCTGTATTCCGCCACGCCTCTGCATTCCCATGAAAATAAATAAAAATAAAATACGCACAAACCTAACAGACGACAGTCCGAAAAATACTTTGAGATTCTGTGTCATTGATATAAATCCAGATTTCAATAATCTTTTGTCAAAAGATCAAGCCCAGAGCTCACATTAACCTGCTGTTGTTTATCTTTTTTTTTAATGAATGAGCAACCTGGTAGAAATTTATCAATTTTTGTGCGTTTTTACATCTTATGCAAATGCAAAAACGCATAATGTTGAGAGCATGTCTGTGTGCATGTGTTTTGAGAAGCGAGTGAACATTGTCACCTACTTTCAATTCAGCATTAACGAGGAACAACATGCAATAGAACCGTCCCTGCTGACGCCCTTTTCCCTCATATGTAAGAAAAGACCAAAATACAGACACATGAGTTACACATGTTAAACTGTAAAGCGACAACCATTCACACTGTTGACGATCTGACTGCGCCAAACTTAGCGCAAAAACACATGGTCGCAAAGGCAGGCCTAGTGTTTTATTAAAAGGTAGCCCGCGAGCTTAAGTAAGTATGTAAATCAGGTCCGCGTGTCGCTAAAATTTGTCCATGCGTGGTCTATATGGTCGCGGAAGGATATGCCAAGCATCCTCCGCTTCATCGCTCTCTTCGACTCTGCCAGTGTTCGCTGTTCAGCTTTCGTGAGTGACCGCC